CCAGTCTCTGTGCAACATATGCCTTGACTGACTTGAGCGAGAAGGTAAACAGAGACTCCTGCGTTGGGGTGCAGGGATAAATATCCTCGATCGCTGCTTTGTCGAACCCGTATACTTGAGCAGCCTCCTCACAGGCGCTTTCGGCAGCTTGGGAGATCAACGAAAATGGTGGAATCTCGGTCTGGGTCTCGACATCGCAGATGAGGACCTTACTGGCCATAGCAGACAGAGTAGGATGTCCAAATGTGTTGGCGACTGACAGATCCAGACCTTGCGCCCGACAAACTGATGCCAATCTCATCGCAGCCAAAGAGTCACCACCCAGGGCAAAGAAGTTGTCGTCTGGCCGGATGGTTTCGGCGTCAACCTTCAAGGTCTGACTCCAGGCCTGTCGCAGACGCTGCTCCAGTTCAGTGAGCTCCCGATGGGCGGTGCTCGCCGCACCCTGGTCCAGCTCGCGCAGGTCCACAGTGGTGCCAAATTGACGCAGTCGTCGACGATCTGTCTTGCCGGAGATCAAGACCGGAACATGACTGACGGGAATGTATGCTGTAGGGACCATGTACCGGGGCAAGACCTTCTTTACCTCCGCATCAGCCTTAGACAGTGTCTTGCTCAGCTCCTCCGGAAGCTCTACCGAGGTGACTTCAGTGCTGTCGATGCCCTTACTGGCCTGAGAGGCAACAAAGGCTACCAGGGTCGCCTGGCCACCGGATCCCTGAGGCACAATCACTTCCGCAATGACTGTAGCTTCCGACGGCAGTCTGGCCTTGAGCTGACTCTCAATCTCTCCCAGTTCGACACGCTGTCCGCGCAGCTTAACCTGGGTATCCTTTCGTCCCGCAAAAACGATACCTCCAGATCCATCAGGATCATACATTCCGAGATCTCCAGTCTTGTACATCCTTCCGTGACGACCAGCGTAGCCCTGATGGCCGGCCACTAGCCACTTCGGGTCCTCAATAAACGCCGCCGCCGTCTTCTCGGGATCATTCAGGTAGCCCTGGCCAACAATTGGACCCTCCACCAGCAATTCACCCACCGCACCGACCGGCATCAGCTCATCATGGTCATTAGGGTTCACAATCCAGATAGCCGCACCATTGCCAGTTCCAATGGAGATATAGTCCCTCCCGGTGGCTGCGCTGCTATTCACCGTGCATCCAATCGTGCACTCACACGGCCCGTATCCAATAATAATCCTCGTCTCCTGACCCCAGACTGTCACGTCGCGGGCCGACGCAGCCTCACCTCCCAATCCCAGCCCGCTGAGCGACGCAATAACATCCGGTTCTAAGATGCGGGCCACGGACGGCGTGATACCCGCATAGTTGACGCGCATATTGCGAATAACGCCGTTAATATCGTTCAGTCGATCCTCATCGGATGGAATGCAAAGGCAGCCGTTGTTACCCAGCGTCAGCAGCATGCTGTCAATACTGACATCGAACGCGTACGATGCGAAATCAAGGACCCTCGAATTCTCATCATATCCGACAGCCTTGGCACGTGGGAACGCACTACTTGTGTAGCTACCATGGGAGACCTTGACGCCCTTGGGAGTTCCCGTGCTTCCCGAAGTGAAAATCAAGTACATGATGGTGGTTGAGGGAACCTTGGGTAAAACTGGAGTGTTTTCCAGCGGGGGAACATTCGGGAACGCACCCTCCTCCACAACAAACAAACCTCCATCTTGAATGATCTCTCTCGACAGGTCCTGCTGCATGGACGAGCAGATCATTGTTCGCGCATTTACTTGCTTCGCCATATTCTGTAGCCGAGCCAGTGGGAGAGTAGGGTCCATCATCGCGAACGTGCACCCAGCTTTCATGACAGCCAACACGGCAACAATGGTCCACCGCGACTTCTCAAAACACACCGGGATGAAGTCTTCCGGTTGCGTGCCCATCTCCTGGATCTTCATCGCGACATACGTCGAGTACCGCTCGATCACGCCGTAGGTGAGACTGCCGTCCCAGGAGTCAATTGCAACCTTGTCGGGAGTTTTGCGCGCTTGTTCCGAGATCACTTCGTGCATGCCAAAGTCGTATGCTGGGGGGAGTTTGTGGTTCCATGACCAAATATCAGAGATGTCGCTCGCGGTCGGACGGAGGCACTCTTCAATAGTGGCATCGGGGTTCGAGAGGACCAGTTGCACCGTGTCGATGAGGCTGTTGATGTGGCGGGTAAGGGTATAGGGGAGAATGACTTCGGAGTGCCAAACGGGCTTAATTTCGAGATTAGTGGCATTATAGCGCGCTTCCAGGTGGATGATGCCCTGTGCGTTCACCTCATTAGCTTGGCTCTCTTATAGTTGGTACGACGGTATAAGTTGCGGTCGCGGCTTACCTCGTTCGGCTCTTCAGTGGTCTGAGACAGCGCGCTGGTGCTGAGGAGCACCGCAAGGGATCTCGATGGCACTGTCTCGGGGGTAGTAGTGTGCTTGCGAGCAATTGCGGCAGCAGTCTGCCCCACACTGCTTCGCAAGTCGGCCATTACCTCTGTCGACAGACAGCGGTTGGCTGGACTGGGCTCGTCGCCCTTGTAGGCCCATTCAAAGGATGCCTGGCCATCTTCTCTCGTACGCAAGAGCACAATGAGCCACGAAACCAGGAGAAGCTCTTCCTTCATTCCTGAGGGGGTAGTGTCGGCACCCAGGCTGGCAGCCTCTAGTGTATATACTCCTGCCATATCGTGTGAATCTTCTTGTCCCTGCGGACTTGTAGTGTGTGTGTTGCCCATTCGGCAATTCAGTAAAATCCAGTCCAGCTGCGTGGGAGGAGAGAATGAGAGGCGAGAAGAGAGAGAGGGGGGAAAAGAGGGGCAAGTAGTTAGGAACCACTGAATGACTTCAATCTCAATGCAATTATTTCACCCAGGGTCAAGTTCAATAAGTGCCCAACGCACGGAAGGTGGACACCATGTAGTATATTATTATTATTATCTGATCCGAGGTCCCAGAAAACACAAACGGATCAGATTACTACTGACCCTCTTCCGAACATCCCGTGAAGTTTTACAACCCCCCCAGTCCTAAGATTATCATCATTTATTATGATACTACCGAGATCGGCGGTGGATTCCACCACGCCTGCGGGTATACTGCAGTTTGCAGCACTGGAACACGAGATCAAACGGGCATTAACGGACAGACCAGCCGGCTTGTGAAAGTTACCGGGCAAAAGAATTTTGCACAGACCACGTACGCCAAGCGTCTAGCCGAGAATTAGTGAGACACGGCATGACATGATTTAGCCCGCAGGCGTGAGAAGTGTAACTGGGAAAAAGTTATCTGATCTAAGTTGTTTGGTAGGATCCGGTCTTGTGCGAGGACTGGAACTTAGGTAAGGGTTATACTACGTAATTTGCAGCGATGAATTAAAATGAGTCATAGAATTCGTTAATTGTTTATTGTCTTCTTGACTAGCCTAGTTACTGTTTACTGTTACATAGGCCTGTCGGAAATGAGCGACCCGTGGGTCCAGTTATCAGGATATTTGTCGTTGAGTGGGGGTGATGGATAACAGGTCGTTTGTGGTGTATGTAAGAAATGTATCTGAACTAGTAAGTGTAAAGGGCGCTAGTAACAACGCTAGTATGTGACAAGTGGGGTTGGTGATTGATAAAACTAATCAGATCAGATAGCTGCAGGTCCACAAACAACCAGGAAGTTAGCTGGTTAAGGTATCCGAAACAGGTTAGTTTGGGTGAGGAGGTAGGATTGTCGTGATTAATCCCTCATACGAATTATTTCTCCGAGCCATGGGAGATGCATATGTTCTCATTCAATGGGATATCCTGATCAAGCTACAGCGCAGCTTGATGCAGGGGAGTGGCAACTGGGTTCTGCACAGTGCACACCATATTTCTTTTTTTTTTTTTCTTCCTTTCTTTTTTTACCCATTTTTGTTACTTTTTTTTCTTTCTTCAAGCTATACTGGGTAGCGACGTCTGAGACTATACATTTGGTATCTATATCATGCTACCATTGTCCGAGTCGTATGATAATCGCGCTGCCTAGCCCGATCGAGTGTTATCGCCGAGTATCTGATCTAATCTGATAATCCGTTGATTAACGGAGTATGGAGTTTGGAGTAGGAGAATCTATTGAGACTTCAAAGTAAGGAGTTTCGGCTCTGAGGAACCTCGAGTCCACAATCAGAGTCCACTCGTCTCGCACGTGGCATTTACTCGGATTCAGATACTGACTTGGGTTGGTGTCGCATGTAGGAAAGTTTCAGCTAATGTAGGATAACCAGGCAGCTATAGCTTGCAGATGGTGTCCAGCGACTACCCAATATTTGTATATTGGCCTCTGTTGTATCATTATAAAATTGGACCGAAGAAGAACAATCGTTAGTATACACATTAACATATCAAAGAAATCACTGTGTCAAGCTCAGGAGTAGCTGATGTAGTTCGGGCCTCCGTCTATGTCGCTTCCAGTATGCAGTCTAGCATCACGACAACTAAGGCATCACCGCATCTTGCATATACCGACGGCTACAACCGCCGGAGCCATCTCGCATTCTCTCAACTAATTTCTTTTATCCGCCGGTGGATCAAGAATACGACAAGCGCGTTAGGGTCTGTCTAGGTACCCACATACCATCCATTACCGCCTTTGAAATACTGCGTATTCAGAAACACCCCTTCAGTGTCCGACTGTCACCCGCTTACCATACATCCATGGCAAATTTGTCTCACTCATTATCTGATGAACCCCACCAGCACCCTCAACATCCCAAAATTCTTGAAACAGCCGAGGATTCCATTCCCGGGAGTACTTGGTTCCGGTGATAGCCACGCCGTCAACTGCCGTAAAGATAAGCGATTACAAAGTACATAAGCCAAGCCTAGCTGCAGTGATTGTTTCTGGAATTTTGGCTCAACCTTTTACACACACCTCCTACTCTACACACATTATTCTACTTGATTTTAACACAAGGCAACTTCATCTTACACACTATCATTAAACACATACACGTATAATCACTTCACAACAAGCAATTATGTACTCCAAATTCTGGCCCAAGGGCGGCCTCCCGGGAATCCTCCACCACTTCGTATGTCCAGCCAGTCCTAACCCCTCCGAATCCAGCCCACCAAACTAACACAACATTCCCTCAATAACAGACAGAAACCCTTGTAACCTTCGAATATACTACCACCACCCCCTCCCTCTCCCAACCTCACACCCTCCTCTTCGTCGGCGGCCTCGGCGATGGCCTCGCCACAACATCCTACATGGCCGACCTAGCCCGTGCCCTCCACTCCACCCCCTGGTCCCTCTTCACCCTGAACCTCACATCCTCCTACCAATCCTGGGGCCTGGGCCATCTGGACCGCGATACCGACGAAATTGCCCAATGTATCCGCTATATCAAAGACTACAAAGCGGATAAATACGGCTCTGCCTCTGCAGCTAGCAGCAAGATCGTCTTGATGGGACACTCCACCGGCAGCCAATGCGTCATGCATTACCTAACGCGGCCGAACCCCCATACCACCAAACCACCCTTTGATAAGTACTTGGAGCATGTGGAACGGTTGCCGCTGGACGGAGCTATCATGCAAGCACCTGTGTCGGATCGCGAGGCGATATTGTGGGTGTTGGAGAACGGGTTTGGAGGCAGATCTTCTGCGGAGTGTAAAGCGGTCTATGAGAAGCTGGTGAACATGGCAAAGGAGGCAGAGGAGAAGAGAATCAGAGAGGGTGGAGAGTTTGATGTGATTCTGCCGATTGAATTGACTAGCTTCGCCTATCCGGCTAACACACCGTTGTCGGCGAGGCGGTTGTTGAGTTTAGTGAGTCCAGATGCTCCGGGTAACCCTGGGGAGGACGACATGTTTAGTTCGGACTTGGGGCCGGAGCAGTTGCAGAAGACTTTCGGGAAGGTAAAGAGCGGCGGCTTATTGGCAGAGAAGGCGAAGTTGATGGTGCTATACTCGGGTAAGGATCAGAGTGTTCCTGACTGGGTGGATAAGGAGGCATTGTTGAGGAAATGGCGGGGGATCGCAAACGCTGGATGTGCAGAGGGCGAAGAGATCTGGGATGATGAGCACACTGCCGTCATTCCGAACGCGTCGCATGCCCTCAGTAACGATGATCAGGCAGAGCCAAGACGATTCCTTGTGGAAAAGGTCATGGGGCATTTGAAGACAGTGGTTAACGAGTAATACACCTTTTTTTCTTTCTTCGTGTACGATGATGTGTGTTGGGATTTTCTGACCTTCTGAAGTGGTACGTTCGATGAATCTTGTGCTTTGTCGGAGAAGCAGCAGATCCACGAGACATGGAATGCTGCCAATCAGCTTGAGACTGGGTATAGATATCCTACGCAGGACTCGACCGGCCTGCGGGCTCGACGGGACTGGGTGAAGTATGGCCTGGTAGCAACAGTTCTGTTGCTTGCCTCACCTTATGTCTATCCGCACTACGGGGGCAACTGAGCTGGTGATGCTTTGAGTTTGTTCTGCACAGGAAGCCTTTGTCCACATCGGATGTCTACGTTGATGTATATATGATGGTAGATAGTAATGGAGATATCAAGATACAACTTAAGCCAGGTACTCACGCAGACACTACTATGTTTGGAATGTTCAATCTCTGTTGAAAACAGTACGGTCAAAGCGCTCGTCAACTCTAAAGATATATATGGTTAGGCTTGTACACGAACAACCACACAACCCACCAGTGCCCCTTCAGTCAGTCTGACGACTGGTTGCCGTTTATTCCATACATCTATTTAAGGTCTCTCGAGCAGTGCTATCATGGTAGTGTGGATGTTGGCCAGCTTGCAGGGTGACTCCAATATTTCCTCCGGGGTGGTGTGGTCGATAGCGATGCGGCCGGATACGGCGGAAAAGTGACCGTTACGGAAGTGGGGACCAGAGCAAATGAATAATGTACAGTATGGTATTGAAAGATTGCTATCTAGGGTTAGATAGTGCGGCGGTGGGGCCCTCGCTTCCACTGGAGGACTAGTCTCCGTGCCATGTCCGGCCAGTACGTATTTTCATTTCTCGTTGATGCAGACCAAGCAGCTTACAGCTTGGCATTCCACGCCGCACGGTCGGCCGATTCCAACGGTCGCTCACGCCCATCCCAGAATATCGGGCACAGCTGGAACCACTTCTCGCGGCTGCAAATGGAATGAACTGACCGTTTGTGGCCCAGGTCGACGTACTTGCCGATCGTCAGACCCTGCGCATTCTCATACGACAGAATCGTTGCCCCTGTTGCGCGTGGCTCACCCACCACGTTCACCGTCCTTGGCTCATCCAGGAAGCAGTAATGGATGCAACTCGAATACCACGCGTTGACTCGCTTCGCGCCACGGAAGGACGCATCACCCACCAATGAATGCCTTCCGCGATCGTAGTCATGGGCGTCATAATGCGCACCATAATGGTCCTCCTATCCCAGTGTTAGCAGCTGTAAAGATCACGACCATGATACAATCAGTGGACAATGACATACCTTAGACCAATAGAGCTCGTAGTATGAGAATCTTGTCTCATTAAAGCGCCCAAACAAGCAAAGTACATGCGGATCAACATGCAACTTCCGGAGGTACTCGCGGTGTTCATCCAGTGTACCTGTCTCATTCCATCCCTTTGCCACACGGGGATCATTTTGCCAGGTGTTAAAGAGCTGTAAATGGCTTGGATTCTGCCAATCTACAACTTCCAGAGAGAAGTGCTCATCCAATTCAGGGATATAGCGACTGTAGGCAATCGAGCCAGGAGCTGGCTTGGGCCGTCGGATCGGGTGTCTGGCATAGATGGGCTCTTCGGGAAACTTCTGCGTGAAGTGATAGTTCTCCGGCATGGGTGGGTATTGCGACAAAGGCTCTCGCAGAGAGCCATCGGTGCCATCACCCACCACCCAGATGGGACGCGGGCCCATTGGCGACGCGGCGCCTTGCCAGAAAGAACTGCGGAGGATCAATAGGTCGGTAGAGGGTTGGACTGCGCGGTCATCAGGCCGTGTGGCCTTAGGATGCTCAATTCCAAGTCCGGTCGCGAGGAGCTCAGTGCGAAGGACATCCTGGCCTGCGCCGGACAGGGCCAGGCTGAAGTATTCATGGGTGGGATGGGCAAGGTATATAGCATGGACAACGTTCCAAATCTGCCCCAATGTCGGTGTGGTGTCAGTCCATTGGAATGTGGTTTTAGGTGCACGACGGGCTCGTGCCCAGGCGGTGTTGTTTGAAGGGGGAGGACAAGTCTTCGGGGAAGGGGTTGCTAATTCAAGCCACGAAAGAGAGTCGAGGTGTAGAGGTTGAGGGGGGGATCGGCCGGCTGGGGGCTGATCATGCAAAGTCAAGCTGAGTTTGGCTGGTGACGTTTCGGCTTCCGCAATGGTGCGCACGCGGTATGCGGTCAGAAAGGGATGGGGAAGCTTCACCAGTGGGTACTGGGAGCTGGCAGTGGTATTAGGACTCATCCTCGCTCGCTGTGAAGTGTCTAATGAAGACAATGTAGAGAGGAGAGACAGGGCGCGTTTTAAGAAAAAAGAAGGAAATGAAACAGGAGCGCTGCGACCGAGGCAAACGGTTATATAGAAAGCCGGGGCAATTTAGACAGAACAACCGAGGAAGACAGATAACGAGCTTGGAAGGTGTCTCAGGTGGGTGTCCGCCAATGGCCCGTCCTTGGTTGCTCTCGACCCCCCTTTGGCACGGTCTTGGGCCCACCGATATCGCATATTATGCCGCCTTCTGGACCCCAGCATAGTCCTTTACAAAAGTATAAAAGTAGCGCGAGCTGGTCCGGATGTCCCGCGATCAGATAAGCCTATCAATCATTCACACCCTCGACCATGTCGCTCCGATCGCATTCCATACAGCATCCAAATTTCCATGTCTCGTTTCCCCACGAGCGTGTGGTCCAGGTGACCTTAAATCGCCCCAAAAAGCTCAATTCTCTTGATCTGGGTACAAGTCGAGAGATTCAAAAAGTCTGGGAGCTGTTCGACCAAGATGAGAGCTTGTGGGTGGGTATTATTACTGGTACAGGGAGAGCGTTTTGCACTGGCGCGGATTTACAAGGTATAATTATTTCCTACGCTCTCGCATACTTCTGTACTTTGACATGATTGCTTACTTATTATTTTGGGTAGAGTGGAATGCTATGAACGAAGCTGGAGTTGTCAACGACATGTCCCCGCCCGGACTAGCAGGCCTGCCCCGACGAAGCGGCAAGAAACCCATCATTGCAGCGGTCAATGGTATTTGCATGGGGGGCGGATTTGAAATGGTAGCAAATTGCGACATCGTAATCGCTTCGGTGTCTGCCATCTTTGCGCTGCCAGAAGTCAAGCGAGGGATTGTACCTGTGGCCGGCTGCCTGCCACGCCTGACCCGGACATTGGGGTTGCAGCGCACGATGGACCTGGCCTTGACTGGCCGCAGCGTGGACGCAAGGACACTCTACGACTGGGGGCTGGTGACTCGGTTGGTGGATATTGGTGACGATGTTGCACAGGCAGCACTTCAGATCGCCCGCGTCATGTGCAATAACAGTCCGGACGCGCTCATTGTTGGCCGCGAGGGTATCCGGTTGAGCTGGGAGGCCGGTAGCGTGGAGGATGCGGTGTCGACGCTGGCGGAACACTCGTACCCGCGCCTGGTGGAGGGAGCTAATTTTGCCGAAGGTATTCGAGCGTTTGTAGAGAAACGTTCGCCACAATGGATCAACTCCAAGTTGTGAGACAGAAGAGGGGGTTTTCACGTACGGTCTGCAGATTACTCCGCAATCAGATAGCCAGCCGGCATTGTGTGCCTGTTCGGCAAGGGGCGTCCGGATCATCTGGCGTTGTACTTTGTAGCTCGCTCATTATTCGGCGGAAGAACCCGATGGAGCCACTCACGCTGCAGAATTTTCCAGCCGTGTCCTGGCCTCGAATTACTCGTGAGGAAAAATTCCTTCGACCTACTTGGAGACAAGAACCATGGAATAATAGTTTAATGTACCCCATCGCTTAATTTAGTATCCACTGGACTCATGAGAAAAGTGAAAACCCCTCAACAACGGGTGTTGATGGCATTCGCATCTTATCATGGATCAGATTAGATTTAGTCACGGACTAGCCGTATTTCGTCCACGGTCTCCAGGCTCGTTTTTCCCGGTGGCCGCCAGGGGAAATTGGATTGTGTGGTGAGAGTGGGTCCGTTAGTTAACATTTTCCCGGTGACCGCTGTGACCATACAGTAAGCAGTATCGTACGGTTCATACGAGTATTCTCTTAGTATCCATACCGCGAGTGGGCACCGAATTGGGATGTTGACCCGATCCAGCATCATCAGACGACTCAGCTCGACCCGGATGTGGGTGCCTCCCACTCCTTGACTCTGTCTAGCCTAGAGACCTTGGAGCTATCGATCAGGTAAAAAGACGCAGAGATTACTGGTGCCTTGAGTGGATCGCAGGAAAACATGCCAGTCATACAGTGCCCACTACTCATCTCCGGGTGGAGATCACGGATTTTTATCGTGCCTCACATCGTGTCTTCCGGACAAGTACACGCTGCGAATCAGCTAGTTAGACTACACACCATCGCCAGACTAACTGTTGGCGCTAACAATCTCTGCACCTGTGCTAGAATAGTTACGTAGACCTTGTAGGGCATCATCACCAGCTTACGACCGCCATTGGTTCGATCAGATAGGGGAATGCGCAGGACAGCGCCATCATCTGATTAGATTGGCTCGTCTCCAGGGATCCAGTGGTCTCCAGTTGCGCTCGAACCTAGCCACCCTTCGATTCAAGATTTCAGATGCGGCCGCTGCGGCCGCCGCAGCCGACTTCGGGGTTATCAATCTGTGCGTGGGCCTGTCAACACTAGTCCTCCGCCACTCGTAGCTAGCTGGGTTCGCCTGGGTATAAGGGCCAAGAAATCCCAGATTTCTTGTCCTTGTCTTGTCCTCCTTGGCTTTACCCGCTCGATCATCTCTTCTGCCTTCTCGATAGGTCGGTCTATCACTATGGCCGTGCTCGAAAAGTTTCGTGAGGCCTTTGGCCGTAGCCCTTCTATTACCGAAGAATCCGGCAACAATGTTACCATGAACACTGTCGAGGAAACCAAGCATGATCCCATTGCTGATGAGGCAGTCCGTGGTCCTGAAGACTCGGAGGAAACCGTTTCCGAGGATGCCTCTTCAGCGCACCTTCAGATTGGTGTTAACGACGTCGAGGCTATCACCAAGTCTTGGTCCAAATGGTCCCTGATCGCCGTTTTTGCCAAGTATGTGGTCTCTCTTGGTATCTGTTCTTCCATTGTATTCCTGCTAACTTTGTTTGCTTTTTCTCGATTAGCATCTGGCTCTTATACTTTGTGAATGCTTTTCAGTCCTCTATTCTTTACAACCTGCTCCCCTATGTCACCAGTTCCTGGGAGTCCCACTCCCTCCTGAACGTCATCTATGTCGTTGCCGACTGCATGTCGGCCGCCGTGTACATCCCTCTGGCAAAAATCATGGATGTGACTGGTCGTGCTGAAGGTTTCGCGACCATGGCTGTTTTTGCTACGCTGGGACTGATTTTGATGGCCACCTGCCACAACCTTCCCACCTTCTGTGCTGCCTATGTAAGAAATTCTTCCCTACCAATCGATTGAGAATTCTGTTTTGTGCTAATCAGTCCATTTACCAGGTATTCTACACCATTGGCTTCGGTGGCATGACCTACTGCGTGGATGTCATCACTGCTGATGCCTCCAAGCTGAAGAATCGAGGTCTGGCTTACGCCTTTACCTCCTCCCCTTACATCATCACGGCCTTTGCTGGCCCCAAGGCCTCGGATGACTTCCACCTTAGCTGGCGCTGGGGTTTCGGCATGTTCGCCATCATTTTCCCTGTCGTCGCTGCCCCGTTGTACTTCATCCTGAAGCACAACCTAAAGCGCGCGCAGCAGCAGGGTTTGGTCGCCGTTAACCGCGACGCCCGCACCTGGTACCAGCTTGTCTGGTTCTACTTCATCGAGTTTGACAGTACGCAATTATCCCCCCTAAATACCCCAAGAGTCTCGTCTCAACCTAACTAACCTCTTCCAGTTGTTGGTGTCCTTCTCTTCTCCACCGGTCTCTGTGTCTTCTTCCTTCCCTTCGATATCTCCTCCTACGCCCCCGACGGCTGGGCCTCGGGCTACATTATCGCGATGATCGTCGTCGGTGTCGTGATGCTGGTTCTCTTCTGCCTGTACGAATGGCTCGTTGCGCCCGTGCCTCTCTTCAAGTTCGGCTTCCTCTTCAACCGTACCGTTATCGGTGCTTGTCTGCTCGACGCCACCTACCAGCTCTCATACTACTGCTGGGACAACTACTTCACATCTTTCCTGCAAGTTGTCAACGACCTGACCGTTGCCGAAGCCGGTTACGTCAGTGACACTTTCGACGTCGTGTCCGGTGTTTTGCTCCTCTTCGTCGGTTGGTTGATCAGCAAGACCGGCCGCTTCAAGTGGCTTCTCTACATCTCCGTGCCCTTGTACATCTTCGCTCAGGGTCTGATGATCTACTTCCGTCGCCCCAACCAATCCGTCGGCTACCTCGTCATGTGCCAGATCTTTATCTCCATCGGAGGCAGTATCTTCATCATTATCGAGCAGCTCGCTATTCTGGCCGCCGTCGACCACCAGCACGTCGCTGCTGCCCTGGCCCTCCTCAACGTCGTCGGTACGATCGGTGACGCTATCGGTGCCACCATCTCCGGCGCTATTTGGGATAACACCTTCGAGAAGGCGCTTATTCGCTACCTGCCTGAATCTGCCATGTCCAACCTCGAGAACATCTACGAGGACCTGGAAACTCAGCTGAGTTACCCGACTGGTAGTGTTACCCGCACTGCTATCCAGCATGCCTATGGATATGCCCAGACGCGCATGTTGGCGGTTGGAACGGGTCTCATGGCTCTGTCCTTCATCTGGATCGTCATGATCAAGAACATTAATGTTGCCAAGGTCAAACAGGTCTCGGGTATGGTCTTCTAGACTGTCGATGGTTTGCGTGTACATTACCATATTACATACATACATACATCGGTTTGAATAGAACCTCTCATCCTGAATGCACCATTAGTTGCCTTGTCTTTTTTTGTTTGTTGATTAAGGAAACGGTGTATATGTGGGGGTTGGTGCATCATTCACCGCTCACTTTCGTCGTTTCTCTTCTCGCCCATATCATACCCATATTCCCCCTTTACATACCCCCTGTGTGCCTGCTGGTGCATGGACCTTTGCTTGATATATCCCCGCTACATTGTATTGCATTAGTATAAAAGTTATACTCCACTAATTAATAACCTTACATTATACTATTTTCTTCGATGTAGATCTGTGTAGTTGACGGAATAGAAAGATCCTGAAAGAACAAACAATTCTTGATCGTGGTCTTAACAACCATTTGCAAAATAAATTATTCCTATCGTCTCTCGCAATAGACAAGATATTGTCCGCTACCATGGCCTTTGAAGCTTATGGTATGCCCGATCACAATATAGTCCATCGAAACCATCATCTTCTACTACATATTTGACCTCCCACCAGGATACCACATCAGTCAATATACTTTCTGGGAAATTTGCAGGTGAAGATGGTCTCTCAGTAATATTACATGCAGAGTATCCGTCTACTGTAAATAAAAGAAGAAGACCAAATCTGTTCAATATATATATAGCGACCAGCAATCCTATGGTTCGCAAAATACTTCTAGTTATCCTTTGCGCCGGAGTCCTCTGAACCATCATGGAACGATTTCTTCATTAGGCATTCCTGATTTCTGGGCTCATGGGGCTCACTGCCTCGCGATAGTCTGTTGGGTGATATCCGTCCAAATAGAATCTCTTGGTTATGCTTCTTTTCTTGCTTCCTTTACTTTGGCGTTGGCACCGTGTCTTTGGGGAACGGTAAGCGGGGTTGCATACTTGACTAGTGTGATGTCCTGGTCAATGTATATTTGATAGCAATGGTGCCTCTCAGGCTTGGTGCTCAATCTCGCGGCCAAATCTATCGGTAAAGTTTAGATTGGTTGTGTAGCTCCTGTGACCCTTGCTCTTAGTATTTTTGTTGCTGCATAGTAATTCAGGTTCATGTTCAGTATGCACTACTTGGGTTTTAGGCTGCAGTAGCCTGGGCGTGACAGGTCAGTAGACAGCTAGGTGCGAGTCTCCATCGAATTAATATATGAGGCAACTGATCTATTAGATGCCCATCCAACACTACAAATACCTCCATCCCTCAGGTATAAATAAATCACCGCCAAATATTTCCCAACGCCGTCTCCAACCACAATTTCGTATACTGCTGATGCAACCAGACCACATGCGAGGGCATCGGCTCACTCTCCGCCTTCCCCTTGCCTTGGAAAAAGAGACTCTTGAGTCGGAACTCCGCAACTCCCTCCTGGGGCTTGACCTCCGTCGAAATCTCAAACAGTCCATCCGATTCCCGCACGTCCTTCTTGCGGGGGGAATCTCCGCACCGCACGACAATCCGCTCCGGCGTCTTTTCTACCACTTCGAAGTGATCTGTGATCAGCGTGCCCACGTCGTATGTCGCGGCGCGTAGATCCGCGCGCGTCCAGAGGTGAGATGCGGTTTCGGGGCCTTCGTATTTCTTAGAGAGGTAGCGGCGTTGGTAGGCGTATCCTGTTTGTTTAAATTCATTCGATCAAGGTGTTAGGTATGTTGTCCAGTTTATTATGCTGGTAATAGGCTGGGTGGGTGTATGTGACGCACCGAATCCACTCCACACACCGGCGCAAAACGCCTCGGTCAGTCGGCCTGGCTTTTCCAGCAAGGCGGGCTTGATGTCCTTGAGCGGTACGCGACGCACACAGAGGTCATGGGTTGTGGGGTTGTTGTTGGGATTGAGTTTCTGGTACAGTGGGTGCTGGAAGAGAGGGTCGCTTGTGGGCATCGGCACGAAGGTGTTGTGACGGACGGCTGCGAAGAAGAATGCCGTGCCGACGCCAGCGCCGATGGTGGTGATCTTGGCGACGCGTTTGAGAATACCCATGGTGTAGGTGGGAGCTGCAATTGAATGGTTGTTGGGGAGAGGGGGTGAGTGGGATGAAGGTAGAGAAGGGAAAGAGAAGAGAGCTGAGCTTGAGCCGGAGGATGAAGAGGTGAGATCATCGGGACTGGCGGAGATGCGGAGTCGGAGGGTCGGAGTTGTTCCGGTGGCTGGTTGTAGCATTGAATCCTGGGATTTATATAATATTCACATCTCTTGACTTCACTTTATATACATATATATACATATATCATACAGTATCTACTATATTAAATATGGGATGAATCGCGCCGTCCTCACATGCCATTCCTCCCAATCCCGCCCGAATTGGTCCCGCAACATCCCCTCTTCGTCTCGCACACGCATCACCGTTGAATAGATCAACCCTGTTACTATCACACTTACTACCCATCCTCCCCATCCAGATAGCCGCTCATGCACCGCTTCATCCATAGCACAGGCCACTGCGCCGTCCCATCGTGTCACCAATCCCAGATGTCCTACTGCGAGGAACCACAGCCCTGTGTAACTGGGATGCTGTACCAATCGGTACAACCCCCCAGTTACTAGGGTATTTGGTTGCGTCAACTGGAAGGTAAAGTTCTGACCTAGAAACTTGAATGCAGAGAGCCGAAGCAAAGCGCCCATGATGATGGAAACGAGGCAGAGTGTGGATGTGATAGTCCAGGTAAAGAGATGCGGCGCAAGGTTGGTCCGGTGGGGACAGATTGCTTGAAGGTACACTCCATCACCAGAATTGGTCAGCTCTTTAGCATTGTTGTTACTGCTATCTATATAGAACAGCGCAAGAAGAGCATGATAGATGGTGCAGGCCGTATTGAGATGTAGTGTGATGGTGGTGATCGGGCCGGCGATCAGACTAATGCGGTCTGGCGGCCCATTACCTTTGGATCTGGAAGGAAGATTTGGGGGTGTGAGACCGCGGAAGGTGAGGTATCCTGCGGTTAAGAGAGACGTGGACAGTGAAATTGATGAGGGGGAGGGCATATTGGGCTTGCAGCTGCTGGATATGCAAGGAGGTCAAGAATGCGGCGGATGATGTACTCTTTGACTGGTTGGCCAAGGATCCACTTTCTGCCTGAGGCGTCTATGTGTTTACACATGGATCATGTGCACCTTGTCTCCAAGAGTCCCACAGTTGACGGTCTGTTATTACTGCTTCATTGGCTTCTGACTGTAACATCACACATAGCCTCAATAGACAAAACAAGAATCGGTCATAGAACAGTGCATATCCCCTTACGCTTTATATAAGACACAAGGACAAAGCGTCAACGTGGAATAGTATCGATACAAACTGTCGAGATGGTACAAGAAAGAGAGAAACCAAAAAACAAGAAAATAAGAAAACATCGAACCCGATGATTCTAGGAATTCTTACTATAGATGGCTGGACGATGCTTGCCAGACAATGTCACGTGAGACTTTCATATGATTGATAGGTAAACGGTGTCACCTGACTGCGCCAACGGTCTGGATCACCTACCGTAAATTTCCTTCGAAGAAGATGCGATAATCGATCTACGATCACTACAATTACAATCGCAATAACGCCCTCACAGATCTACTTGAGTCTGCTGACTTCTTACCATAATAATCATCATTACGCAATACCACACCGGCTGAAGGAACAATCCGCTACCAACAAAATGACCACACCACCATCGACGGACGATCTCCAGTCACGCCGAGAAGCCGACTACGAGCGGTTCAAAACCGCGGCCGCATACACCTTTCTCATTGCATCGCCTGTTCTCATTGCCCTACCACCCAGAAAGCTTGATAACCTGACGGTTCTTCTCACCAGCGCCTTCTGTGTTTCCGCAAACCACCTCACACGCGAACACACCGGGCGGAGTATCGTGGATCGGATCGAGGCCCGGATCTCAAGGAACCCTATTACAGCTTTGTCGGATCTGCCAAGCCAACGGGCACAGGAGATACAGGCCAAGTTGAAGGCAGCGAGGGATGCACAGATCCGAGAGGGGTCAGCAGTCGGCGAGGAATTAGAGAGGCTGAAGGCTAGGCAAGCGCAGGAGAAGCCGGCGTTGGAGAAAATCTGGATGGGCGGTGAGACGGAGGGGTGGAAGGAGAGAAGAATAAGGGAGGAGCAAAAGGCCTTGGAGGAGGGGAAGGGATATGGTGACCTGATCAAGGAGCATATATGGGATGTATGGAATTGGGGCCAGAAGGGAGATGAAAACGAAAAGAAGGAGGGGAAATAATCGGGTTTTTGGGAAAGTGAAACCCTTTCGCAGGGCCTGTTGACGGCCTTTTCCTTTAGCGGGCTTGCATGATATAGGCGGCGTTGATGATAAGGGCTGGGTTTATGTGGTTTCTCGTTCTGTGTAGTTATAGTTGCCTGTCCTACCATATGTATAAAGGCATTGTATATTAGTGTATCATTGATCTGACTATCTCTTATCATTGCTATCCCGTAAAAGGTTGTGTTATATGATGCTGTCCAGCTGGTTCAGAGACTAGTGGAAAAGCTACGAATTCCTCAGGTGGTAGGTCCATTTGCTGTCCGTAGAACCACTCGTCAAGGGAGCGCATAGAATCACCAGGAACGACTGGAGTCGAAACAGAGATCTTCTCTGTAGCGTAAATCGCAAATCCTACTCCGTCAACGGCATTATAACAATCGAAACTGGACACTTGACCGTACGATTAATCAGCGCGAAAGCTTCGGCCCATAAGCGTTTGGTGCCTGAAATATCATGAAGCTTGAAGTCATATCTTGAATTGGTGTGTAGTGATCTTTAAACCAGGGAAGCGTAATCATGGCATGGCGTCATCATTGTTATTGATTAATATATGATACATTCATCTTTAGTTATATCGCGCTCCGTAAACCCTGACATTCAGTTCATGTCTAATATAATGGCTCAGCATTCCATAACAGACCAACTCCTTCCAACCTTAAACAACGCCGAGAAATATGCATAAAACCCTAACTTAGTACTGCCGAGAGTAGGTCCAGCAAGGAAAGGACCTGAGGAAAGATGTGAAAGAGAGATGGTGACGAAGTAAAAGGTAAAAGTAAAAGAGACAGGGATGTATGTTATGTAAAATCCAGGCCATCATCTGGCTGATCCACGTACTGATACTTCGCCAGAATCTGCTCGTGATGGACGTCGTGTGCCTGAGAATGTACCAGCCCCAATACTTCTTGATGAAGCGCCGCGGACGGATCAGGGTCGGTGGGATGATCAACCATCATATGATAGTCATGGGCTGCATGATGACGGACATCATTGTCGAAGCTTGATGCATGCAAACTATGTGCAGCGTGGGTATATGGATCGGCCATAGTATCATGAGGATGAAATCGAGGGAGCTGCTGATGTATGTCGATGATTTGTGGGTCGAGTGGTAAACCCGTGTAATCAGTAATGGAATCCACTGATCCTTGCACTACCGAATGGGCGGTCACAAATGGGTTCGTATTGTGAGCATCCATGGCGGCGTGGTCCATCAGCGCATGCGTACCCATAGGATCACTGGATGCCATGTCAACATCATTCTCCGCCAAGTCAGCCTCATCGATTCCCAGATCGTCATCATCATCTTCGGGGGTACCCTCGTGCATAATCCCATTAATTAAAGGCGGCTTAAGGATTTCTTTACACTGTGGACAGTCCCGGATCACCCGACTGACCGTTTCTTTAATCCGCACCCAATGGTATTTGACTGCAATGGCAGCTGTGGTCTTGTTGATACCTGCATGCTGCTGCATATGCATCTCCCGAGCAATATCGTACTGCTGCTGCGGGTCGGACACAACCTCCTTGTCTTTCAGCATCAATTTCTCACCGTCCCCATCTTTACCTCCGATCAACTTGTAGTGGGTAGCTGCACTCCGAAGCCGACTTTTCTCGGCCCGGTCAGCCCCCCTAGGATACTTGGAATGCTTGAGATAGTATCGGATCTTGTCAAACCGATCTTGTGTGACAGAATCTTCCCCTTCCGGGCCTAGATCCCGGCCGTAGATGATAGCATCTACGTACTGCCCGGGATTGGAAATGAGCCGACCACCCCCGGGGACCCTGCCAATTCGCTTAAACCCCAGAGCATCCCACAGGCGGCAAGATGCCACGTTACTCTCATAGACCAGGTTAAAGACCGCATATGTGTACCCCTGTTGAACGTTAGCCGGATGTCTACTAGGTCAAAGACCACAACGATGAGGTAGGGTAAGAAGTGGCTAAGGGGAGTACTAAGTAGTTATGATAGGCAACAGGAATAGTGGTTTGAGTCAAGATTACTGGTATTTGGTATACTAACCATCTTAGGAGCCCATTCGAGATACCCTTCCCCCATCAGTCGACCTACACCTTTGTTTCGGGCGGCGTCGGTGACCAGAAACATGCCATTGCAGACGTGACTACTACGACCGGGATAATTGGGACGGATATTGAAGCTGCCCAAGCAGATCTTGGACCAATTGGCGCGGTTCCGACCTAGTGCTTGAACCTCTTGCACACTCTTGATGTCCCCCATGAGCATGATCGCGCCAAAATTGGAGAACCAATACGGCCCAAACTGCTCCAAGGGAATGGGATCAATCATGGCATAGGTATCACCACCTTCAATCTCCTTGTTCAACTGATCGGATAGGTAAGCTAATAGAGATCGAGGGATCGCATCCGCTGAAGTAAAGGGGACCAGCGTGGCGACCGTGACTCGGTCCCTGAGTATGACCTGCCGCGGCACAATGTCAAGGGGCAACTCCTTCTCCGTGGGGACGACCGTGGTCATCAAGTCCCCGTGTACGGCAGGCATGATGATACCGTGAGCCGGATGCACCAGTCACGAGACTGCATGTTAGTGTTAGTTGGGTTACCAGCACAGTCCATCATGGCGACAATGATCGTGAGGGTGGTGGATAGTAAAGACAGTAAAGTGAAGGGACATGATAGTTCCACCTCGGATAGCCGTATATGGGGGAGTATGAGGTATGAAGTGTAAGGCGTCGATCCCGCCTGAGGCGAGAGTTGAATAGAGGGAGATTGGTGGAAAAGCAGGAGAATTACCAAAAAGGGAATCGGGGGGCAAAACAGGGCAGGAGTAGAAGCACTGACCGAATTTAGGGTATTCTAAGAGGGGGTGGGAATATAATTAGTTCGATAAGGCACTTGGGCTGGCGTGCAAGCAAGTGCTGGGTGAGAGCACTTCAAGGACCGCTGAGTATTCTCGAGTCCGGAATGGGTTGAACGCAGATGAGAAATTGTCGTCCCGCTTGCTTCCTGCTGACTCATCGAAGTATTGCTCACCGCCTGGGATTCTAGTCCCGAATTCTGCCGTAGGAAATGAGGGCGGCGAAGCAACCAGAGAAAAAAAAATATTTAGAGCTACGGAGTCAAGAAGTAGGGAATTAATGAGCGCTTTTGTTTAACAGTCATACATAACTAGGCACTTTATATACTCCGTACACAATACGGTGGACCTTTCAAAGAATTACTCTAGTATTACTGGATGGCCTGTGGGTCTTCCTGTTCGGGGAAATAACGTAAAAGCTACAGTCACATGATCGCGCGCGAGAGAGAGCCTCATCTCAAGCTTCTTCGGAACAATGACTTTCCGATGCCGAACAGCTTCCCATCACCATACTTGCATCGAGCCTGAAGTCACTCGCACGGCTCTCACGAACTGATTCTGCTTCATGGCATCTGAATGGATCGCCTTCGCCAGAAACTGGGGAGATTTCCCGTTTCCAGCGTCCTGAGGGCATTTAGAGGTCCGCAGTGGTCCCTTACGTCGATCCATTATCCGCACTTGCGCTTCCGCTCTACAGTAACATCCGACACCCTTCCCTCAGCAATTACAGCCCCAACAGAACCCCCGCTGATCGTTCTCCGCGACTACCAAGAAGAATGCATCCAGTCAGTGCTGGATCATCTGGCCCAGGGTCACAAACGTCTAGGTGTCTCACTTGCCACAGGCGCGGGGAAGACGGTCATCTTCACCCAATTAATCGGGCGAATACCGCCGCGGAATGGTGTCAATGACAAGACCCTTATCCTGGTTCACCGAAGAGAGCTAGTCGAGCAAGCTGCCCGACACTGCCGTCTTGCCTACCCTGATCGAGTTGTAGAGATTGAGATGGGCAATAGTGTCGCGTCTGGTTCTGGGGATATCATCATTGCTTCCATACGGAGTCTCACCTCCAAGGATAGGATCTCCAAATTTGATCCTAGACGTTTTAAGCTTGTCTTGGTGGATGAAGCACACCATATCGTTGCACCGACGTACCGGATTGCACTCGAGCATTTCGGCCTCAGTAACCCTTCGCCAGACTCGCCAGCTCTCGTCGGAGTCTCTGCCACGTTCTCACGCTTCGATGGACTCAAATTGGGTGCCGCAATCGACCATATAGTATACCATAAGGATTACATGGATATGATTGACGAAAAATGGCTGTCCAATGCCATCTTTACCACTGTTCGGTCAGAAGCAAATCTTTCACGCGTTAGGAAGGACAAATTCGGTGATTTCGCTATCAGCTCGCTCTCTGAAGCCGTCAATACCACGAGAACCAATGACATCACTGTACGCGCATGGCTGGCTAACGCACGCGATCGGAAGTCTACACTGGTATTTTGTGTGGACGTTGAACACACCAGACAGCTTACTGAGGCGTTCCGCGCATTGGGCTTTGACGCTCGGTATATCACGGCGGGAACTCCGAGGGATGTGCGCGATGAGCAGCTGCGCGCTTTCAGGAATCAGGAGTATCCCGTGCTTCTCAACTGTGGCTTATTCACAGAAGGCACAGATATCCCCAATATTGACTGCGTCCTGCTGGCGCGTCCGACACGGTCTCGGAATCTTCTCATACAGATGATCGGACGAGGCTTACGACTGCACCCTGGGAAGAAGGACTGCCATATAATTGACATGGTGGCTACCCTGGACACTGGTGTCCTTTCTACCCCTACACTCTTTGGACTACACCCAGACGAGCTTCTAGAAAGCGCGAGAGCAAAGGACCTGAGAGAGAAGAAGGATGCCTCAACGGGTGCCGAAGATCGCACCGATTATCCGCCAGAGACAAACACACCCACTGAGGAAGCCGACACAACCGACGACATCCAACTCACCTTCACCAAGTACGATACCATCTACGACCTCATTCATGATATGAAGTCTGAGAAACACATCCGCTCCCTCAGCCGCTACGCCTGGGTCCGCGTAGATGAGGACAAATATACACTGTCTGACTCAACAGGATGGATAACCCTTGAGAAGACTAAGAACACATCTAACAAGGGACAAAAAGGTGATCCGCCAGCTACATACACCGTTCACCATGTGATGAAGTTCAAGTCTGCTACGGAATCGACCCAGTACACTCGACCACGTCTGATCGCGACTGCCATGGACTTTGAATCCACAGTTCGTGCCGCCGATACCT